GAAAAAAAGAAAGTAAATAAGGATAAACAGGCACTTCACTACAGAGGAAACTCAAATATCAAATAAACATAGGAAAAAATGGTCAACCTCACTAATAATGCAGGGAGCACACATTTAAATAACATGTACATGCTGCTTTACTTAGACTGAAAATAAGTTTTCAATCCAAGAAAGGCAAGCACTGGTGAAAATAAGCAGTTAGAACTTTCATACACTGCTGATGGGAGTGTAAATCGGTGCAATCACATTGAAAAAGCAATTTGGTGTACATCATTACAGTTGGAAGTACACAGAGCTCCAAAAACAGTTGCTTCCCTTTACATTATGTATCCTAGAAATACATTTTTGCCAAAATTACTAATTAAAAAATGTTTACTGTAGCACTAAGTAATAAATGACAGTCAAAAAAGGATAAATTGTGGTATAGTCATATAATAGAATACTCTGCTCATCAAACAAATGGAACTGCATGCCCCCAGCCAGATAAATACCGTACCTTCAACACCATTTAGAAAGTTTAAAACCATGAAATACAATGCTATTAATAATTTTTAAATCATGTGTATGTAGCAAAGCAATAAAAGCATGCATGAATGAATACCATATCAGGACACTGGTTACTTTAGAGACCTTAGGGACAAGAATTGTATTAGAAAGAGACATTCAAGGAATATAAATTGTGCCTAACTTCTTAAATTGGGTGATTCTGTATGCCCAATTTATTTCATTGTTTTAAAAAAATTCAAGAGAACTGGCAAGTGGGGAGTTGATTGGACATGGGGTGGGCACACATGGAAAAATGGGAAAAGTAGATGAATGGATAAGGATGCAATTTCATTTGAAGCTGTCTGGAAGGAACGCCATGTCAGTAAAAAACAAAATTATGAGCAAAGGTAGTCCAGAAAGGATTTGAAAAGTAAAGAGAAAACTTGAGCTGGGGATATCTCTCAGTGGTAGAGTGCTTGCCTAGCATGACTAAGGACCTGAATTTGACTCCTAACACAAGAAAAAGAAGAGAAGGAAAAGGAGGAGGAGGAGGAGGAGGAGGAGGAGGAGAAATAAGAAGGAAGAAAGAAGAAGAGAAGGAAGAAAGGAAGGAAGGAAGGGGGAAGAGGGAAGGAGAAAAACTTAAAGATGTTTGGGAACTTAAGAGTTTTGAGTGAGGAGTCACACTTTTGAAGCAAAGCATAAGGGAAAATTATTTAATAGCAGTGTATTTGAGTAACTGGTAGGAAGAGAAGGATGAATTTGACAGTGGACTCTAGTAAGAAGGTCCAATTATTTTGCGAGTAACTTTTGGAGAAGGATTGGAAGCTTGCTTGCTAAATTTTCAGAATTATAAGTAAGTTATAAGTCTTGGAGTTATAAGCAAATAATATTCAAGAGAATCACAATTTTTAAAGGGTGGGAATATCCTCGAATGACAAGAATATGTTTTCAGTGGTTTAAAATGTGACATAATCCACTAAAAATTTCAAAGTTAACTAATTACAAAATTTAATTTAATCTGAAAGTCATAGCACAGTATAAATGTGGGCAATGCGTGATATCATTATTAAAGAGAAATTTTAGAAACAGAGTACAGCATCAGCAATTCAGCAAGTGTTCTAAGTTCTGATCAATGATCAATACAATAAGAAGATTTCAGGTGAGAGTAAGCAGAATGTTGACAGTGTAGCTGCACTGAGGCATTTTCCAAGAACTTGAAAACAAAGTTGCACTTTGAGGATTAAATGAATAGAGTCCACTTGTCTGAGTGGATTAGTTAGGTAGACGCCTAAATTCAGACACATGGTTGACTGTACAGGTGAGCCGGATACATTTCAGAGAAGGAAGCTGGAACGTGACAGTAGCAGAGGAAGAAATACAATCAGTAATAATATTTACTCTTTAGAGAAAGGCTGAGCAAATAGACTTGGGAACAACAGCATGAAACACACAAGAACTCTGATACATGAGTTCTAATTTTCACTGTAAATTAGCAAATCAGCATTATAATTTACACTTCTAAGTCTTGCATTTAAATAGCATGTTTTATATAGCAGTTCTCATATATCGACAAAATTGAGTTTTCCAGACCTGAGAGTTGTGGATGACAGGTGGCATAACCTTTCCCTGACATAGGTGTTTCATTGTTACAGGAAAACTCAAGGACACTAAGAATGTGTAGTGGGAAAGAGAGAGGCCAGAGATGAGAAGTGATGCTTATATTTAAAGTTTTTTTGTAGAGACAGAGGCTGGACACTAATTGTTGCAGGCAGAGACTAGAACAAAGAAGAATGAGCAGAAAGTTCAAAAAGCAAGATTTCATCTGGCTAAAAAGAAGAACAGGCTAATCATTTGAACTTCCAACAGTGGAAGAGCTATGTCTTCATCAAAATTCTTTTGTCATTAGCACCAGGAAAATTCTGGATAACTACAGCAGATAATAACCATAACAGTAGGAAGTGGCTCACAGATTTGAAGGAAAAGCTAAAATACCTCACCTTACAAGAGGCAGTGAGTGAGGCAATTTCAGTGATAGCAAGGAAACAAAGGTCCCTCTTTGGGTCACTATCATCATGATTAATAACCCTCTGCTGATTTCTTCCTAGAATTACTGGGAAATAAACTGATTGACAAGCCTGAATCTGGCATCTCACTCTTCTCTCCCCTTCCCTTGGCAGGCAAGGTAAGAACTATCAATGGTAGGGAGCCTACAAAGGCCCCATCAAAGTTTTCTGCAATGGAAAGAGGCCATTTGACCAAAGGAAAATCAAGGGCTGGATGAAACATTAGAAACTCAGTACAGCCTCATCATTGCGAGTACAGAAGGAGAGGCCACCTATTTGTCAGGAATCCTAAGGAAGAGACTTTGGTGCTGGAAGGAGGTTGGAAAAGGCATCTTCTTGTTCTGTGCTTCTAATGAAGAACTGGTTACTGAGATCCAGGATCACTGGAAAAGTCAAGTAAGGAAGACCTGGGCCTAGATACCAGGGAAGGACACAATGCAGCTAACAGAGAAGTAGGCCACAGAGTGGGCAATGGTGGCTCAGGGGTTAATCAGAAAAGGAAGAGAAGGAGCTACTGGTATCAGTCAGATATTGGGACAATTTCCAGATAATGTCCTCTATCTCCCTAAAATTGTTTAATTATTCAAAAAAATTAAGAGTTTGTCCACAGGATCCAAACAGAGGAACTCTCTGTGGGCCCACATCAATTCAACATCTTCCATCAAAGCCAGAGCAAGATGAAGGTCACTTCTGCAAACTGGGAGCATCAGGGTGGCTGGCCTGACTTGAGGTACACCCCCCAGGATGCACAGCACAGGTCAAAAAAATAAAAAATGAAAAAAAGAAGTTGCCATCTTTCTTCTGCTTTCTGCCATGGTTACAGGTAAATGGAAGAAGTGAGATGTAAAAGACGTTAAGGAAACATGAATTTCTCCCTCTCCAGACCTACTGGTGAGGTGGGATGCTGATTAGAGGGTTTAAGGTATCAACAATATTCCTAATGACAGGCGACCTGCAGGCCTTAACACTTAACAGTTACCCTGTGGGAACATTTAACAGAACTTGGCTCGTCCTAAAATTCTGAATTTGGCATCTGCGAGACAAAGCAATTGAGGGACACAGAAGAAATCAGTGGCCACTAGTGACCTCTGGTGGACCTAAGCTTTAGGGACCTGAGATATTTTTAGTTTAGTTTTTTTTTTTTTTTTTCCCCTTTTAGAAAGATGAAAATCAGTGTCATATTGAGCCAATTTATTTGCAGAGGAATGAAAGAGGGACTGCTAGAAACAGCACAGAAAAGCTACCCCCTAAGTGGAAATGTAACAGGAACAATTTGTGTTCTGAGTCAAACTAAGTTGATTAATGTTCTGGGAAAAATGTGAACACATAATTGCTGTCAAAGACATTACCTGAGAAGAAGAGTATTTAGGATATGACTTCATTGGTCAGTGAAGAAATTTGGCATGTTAATGACTGCCAGCAAGAGAACATGCCGATCGGCTTGAAGAGGAAGCTGCACTGGCTGCCAGCCTGCCTTTTAAACATCATTTTAATGTAACATGGAAGAGAGCTGTTCTCTCTGAAATATGAACACATTTATCAATTCAGTACTTCATGGCTTGAGTCCTGCTGCTTTCCCCTTCCCAGTAGATGTCTGTGCCAAGTGTTGGCAAATACTACTGAGTTACAAGGATGTGACAGGATGCTTGGTGGCCTAGGCCTTTGAAGTGTGACCAGTCTCATGGAAGGTCCAAGCACAAACAAAAGGTCAATACCAAACCACACTGGGCACCCTACCTCCATCCCCTTTGGGAAGAGCTTTTGATATATATAATGTTGATCTGGAAGAGAAACAAAGGAATGGGAAGGTGGATGGAGGTTTAAATCTGTCTGTCACACCTAGGATTAATAATGGGTGAGTTGAATTAAATGAGAAGTAGAGGGTAGAAAATGGAGCAAATGAAAGATAAAAAATAGAGACAGTGCACAAGAAAACAGAATCAGTGTTATCAAGCCCTGGGCAATTGTCACCTCTGGCAGGGTAGCAGAGCGATCGATGGTTGTCTTTGTCTCATATTGCCTGCACGGCAGGAGGTGTCACCCTGCCTTCTTTCATTATTCAGCCTCCACCTCACACCTGCCTTGTATCCTGATGTTGTTGTGCATTTTAGCAGGTCTGCTTTTTCTCAAATTTCTTACTCTCCTCTTCATGTCATTTTGAGGAGGTAAAAATAGTTCTAAGCAACCCAAGAAGAATTTGATCTGAATCCCACTCTGGTCTGCAATTTCTAGAGTTTTCGTCTCCAAAAGTGGGCAAAAGGGGTGTCCTAATGTCCTTTAAGCTAATGACTTCCCTGATGTTATTTCTTAAACACCAACTAAACCACAGAGCAGGGAGACCAATATCGCTGTCCTTTCTCTTTCCCCAGCAAAGATCTTTCTCCCAGGAGTTCTACATTCTTTTGACTCTAGGTTAGGTCATCTCAGTCTATAAATCAGTTTACTTACTGAAGATGAGCTAATTATTTTAATCTGCTCCAAAGCTTCTGTTAGGCTGTCTTCAATTTCAGAGTCATCTAAGGAGAAGAGGTCCCCAGCTCTTGAAAGATCTTTTTGTCCCAAAACCAGCCTGAACAGTTGATGCATCATGAGGAATTTGATCAGTTGACTTTCTGTAGACGCAGGGCCAGATGCTTAGTTGTCAGGGGTTAGTAAGAGAAAAGCATGTAGCAGGAGGCGCACTTCATATTCCATGAAAGGTCATTTGTCTCCAGACTTTGAGGTTTTCATTGACACTCTGCAAAGGAAACAAATGACACAATATAGCCACTGGCAGAATGGTATGAGCTCAGAGTATGATCTTGGCACCCAGCAGAGGCAGGGAGGGGGCACACTTGGAAATGTGCATAGAGTGACAGATCCTGGGTTGGATGGTCTTCAAATGGCTCTTTCCTAATTTTTGTCTCAGAAAGTTCTGTCAGAAGTTATTAGGTTTCTCCAGAATCTAATTTGAACCCTAAAGAGCAGCATGAGACCCACATTTATTTTTCTCCTATTTCTCCTTTCTACTTCTCTCTATGACACAAGGAAAAAAGTGGATATAAGCAACAAACATGCTAGCACTTGCTAGATATTCCCCAAACAGATTCTCACGGAATTCAGAAAGGGTGCAGAAAAGGAAAGAGGGAACACAGGAAACAACTTTTAGATCCACTGACTGGTGCCCTTTCAAAATCTGGACGTGGAAACCCAGTGCCTACCCTCTTGGTTAGATGCACTTGCAATATTAACAATAGAAGTTCCCCCTTCCCTGAGTTCATTCAAAAGGTGATCTCCATACTTATCCTCCTCCTATGCATTACCTAACCAAAAAGCAGTGAAATAAAGAACTCTGCCTTGGAGTATGGGGCTAGGTAAATCTTTACTGAACATCAGCATGAGCTGAACACCGACATTAAGCATGACAGCACTGCAGCACAGGCTAACAAGGAAATACTTTGAGGTTAGGTGACCTCGCTCCTCTCACGCAGTCCCATTGACTTTCTCCTCCATGAGACAGTTCACAGAGAGTAGACAAATAGCACGAGCTAGATATCTGATTGTTGTCATCAGCTCCCATCTGGACCTAATAAAATCACACACTATTTGCACCGATAAAGACTTCAGCAATCATTTAATGGTCGGATTTAATGGCATCCTGAAGTCATGTAGTAGCTGTGGCAGGGCTTGTCTCCTGATTTCAGGCCAATAAGCTTTCCTCACTGTTTACAGTGGAGTAGTCACCCTATGCATGCAGTCACAGGCTCAGATAGTGAGAGCCTAGACTGAGCTACTTAATAAGAGTAATACATTGCCTAGCTCAATGTATTTCCTCACTGAGGGTGAAAAAGGAAAGGGGAGTCTGTAGTTCCCTTGGGTAGTCTTACATCTGCCCTCTATCACTATGGGAGCACTTCTTTATGATAAATGCAAATTTAAAGTTTCAAAAATACATACTCTCCATACACTGGTTTCCAGATGCAAGTCAAATACTAAATAAGTTATCTGTAGTATTTCAGATAGTAACATTTATGGGCCTTTTTAGGGAATTCATATTGCCTATTAGCAATATGTGTACTATCTACCAGCTTTAGAAAAATGATACCTGACACTTAATACCCTTGCCTGGGATAGACATAGACACTTTGCAAATGTTCACTAATTTAGTCCTCATAACAACGCTAACAGGATATATCATTCCTATTTTGCAGGTGCAGGCTATGAGGCAGTTAAAGAACTTAGCCAAGCCATGCACATATTAAGCTGGGGAGCTGGAATGTGGACCCAGAAACTCTAGTGCTAGGCTCCAAGTTCACAAACACTGTGATTTATTAATTCCACCTAAGATATGAGGTCACTGTTAGGAAGAAAGTTCCCCAGAGCAATATTAACATTTAGGAATGAACACCAGGGGAGGGTCACAAATGTGACAAATAAATGTCTCTTTTCTACTGCATCCTTGCCCATCTGCACCCTGGAATTAGGCTAGGCAAAAAGCAGGAGAGTCACAGGAAGCAGAGCTCAGAAAGAAGAAAGAAGGAAATAGATAGAGAAGCATTCAGGGAGTGAGGGAAGGGCAGGGTGAGGTTACCCCAAGGAAACATGCCCCCTGGAAGATGTGGAAAGGTGAATTACAATATCTACAAAAAAAAAAAAATTAGGGCAGTGTTTTCCTCTGAATTTTTCCCTTAACACATTCTTTCTCTAGCCTCAGACATTTGCAGGACAATCTCAGTGAAATAACATCCGGGAACACAGACACTGGGTAGAAATGAGTTCACCTTGACCAGTCAGTGCCTGGGGTGATTCAGCTGTCCCAGATATATCAGAGCAGGGCTCCAAGAAGGAACAGAAATGCACGCAGTGAAGAGGAGCACCCACAGGCTTTTCTCAGGCTCCTTCACTCTCCACACTTACAAACCATGGTATATAGCCCCATATTCATGCTTCCAACTTCAGCTGTATTTCTTGAGTACCCATCATGTGCAAAAAAAATCTCTTCAGGCCCTAAGAAGAAACAGCAAGTTATTCAACACGTAGCTGTACAGGAAGACTTTCACAGATCTAGGAGTTGGGTGTGGAGAGATAAGACTTGCATCAAGTAGTCTACAATATGGAATGCCTGAGAAAAGTCATGGGATACACAAAAAAAAGTTTGAGGAAATACAAAGGAGAGTGACTCCCTTCAGCTTTGTGGAGGAGATGGCATTTGAGTAGCAGCTTTTAGGACAGGTAAGATTGTTCTAGATACCAGTCAATGCACCTGTGCTGAATACATACTAAACCAAGGCTTATCTGGGAACTCAGATTCAGAGCCCAGCTGGGTCACGCAGGAACTGCGGGAGCTTTGGCTCATGCTTTTCCCTTTCTCATGGGCAAAATGGGACAAATGCACTCCTAGTCTAACTCATTGGGTTGTTTGGAAGAGGAAGGTTATTAATGTGTAAAAAAGCCCTTTGTAAAATGATGCTGTTGGGGCCCAGAAAACAATACCCCAATGTGAAGGTCCTGAAAGGGGGAAGCACCTCCTGTCTCCTGGTTTCCTTTCTCTCCCAAAGACACAGAAACTAGAATTTCTCTTTCCTAAGGTAGGTAGGTCATGGAATTAGAACACATTCTTCCCCAAAACAACTCATAAAGTCCAGAAATTTCACTCTAATTTCCCCTGCCTTTCTGTTTGGTGCTAGTCATAAAAAATTCTCTAACATACCTTGTTTGATAGTAAGTCATAAAACCCCCATTCCAGAAAGGAGTTTGCCCAGTACCTAGAAGGAAGGAACGCTGCACAGAGAGGCCAAGAAGAATCTGAACAAACATGCCTTGCTGGGTACCCCCACTCAGTCTCTTAACGTTAGATCATACCCATTTGTCAATCAGATTTCTACATGGCTGTCCACACTTCATTGAACCTAAGCTTAAAAATGTATGGTTCACTCTGGCTCCTGTGAGCATAAAACTGTGATCAAATAAATTCATTGTGCATTTCCCTTGTTAACCTGTCTTTTGATATAGGGATGTCAGCCATGACACTTTACAATAGGCAAGAAAGAGCTTGGCCATGTTTTTGCTCCTACACAGTCATCAGCTATTGTTTAGTGGGTGTGTTTGCCATGTGTCAGACATTATTCAGAGGGCATCCCAAGTCACCTAATTCTTATGACAATTCCATTCAGTGAAAAACTGATATTCAGAAAGTTACCACCAGCCCAGAGACATCCCAAGAATAAGTGCCAGAGTGAGGATTAAAAGCAGTTGGGTCTCCCAGGACAAACACCTGTTAGGACTTTTGTATGGTCAAATACACACCCATGTGTGATGGTCATTCCTGAGTGGTCTCCTTTCCCATCAGCCCTCATTTAAGGTATGCCCCCACTCGCCACACTTGGCTAACCTTTTCTGAATAAGGACTAGCAAGGCTCATTGTTTTTCTTGGACATCTGGCTTCTTCTTCTTGTCTTTCTTTTTGTAATTGCAGAAGTGATCAGAGCCAGAACAAATTTTACCTAATCTTTAGAGAAGATCCTTATCTTTATGAATGTCATAGTCCTATAGGCCACATGCATGCAAGTATCATTCACAAATGTACACTTATAAAAACATACATGTGCAGACATGGACGCATACTCCAGTACTTTCTATGCTCTAAGTTCTTTGCTAGACACTTTCTTTTCTGAGTCTTGGGGTAAATACTGTAATGGAAGAGGAAACAGGACCTGTGAAGTTAAATACTGTGTTGGAGGGTACACACAGTCAAGATTCACATCCAGAAAAGTCAGTCTTCAAATGCCATACTTTTTGCATTGCAAAAAAAAAAAAAAAAAAAACTGGTTTATAAAAATCCCTTCTACTGTAATTATAGCTACTCAGGAGGCAAAGATCAGGAGGATCACAGTTCCAAGCCAGCCCAGCAAATAGTTTCCAGTACCTTATCTTGAAAACAAGAAACACAAAAAAATGGCTGGTGGAGTTAGCTCAAGCAGTAGAGCTCCTGCCTAGCAAGCTGATCAAACCCAATATAACCAAAAAAAAAAAAAAAAGAAAAGAAAATGATTTTTACTGTCCCTTTAATTTTTCTTTCATAATTTCTTTCCCTAATCTTTGTGACCTCAAAGAGAAGCCTATCCTCTTATTATGCTGTTTTAGGGTTTCCTGTGTTTGTTTGTAAGCAGGTATTGGTTGGAGTCGGCTTTCCCTAAGAACAGACAATTGCAAGAGGAATGCTTGTGGCCAGCGTGGCCGTTGGGGGCCCCGGCTGTCCCCGCAGACGCGGGAGCTGACAGGGGGACCCGCAGCCCGTGAACCCCGACTTCTCCACCGCGGCGTGAAGAATTCCAGGAATGCAGCCGGATGCCACCCGGGCGGAGCCGGGTCAGGTGACAAGCTGCCCCCAGCCGGCAGCGTGACCTCCCAGTGGGTGAAACACAAAGGCTGCTCCGGTGAAGGAGAGTTGCTTTTAACCGAGAAGACAAAACTCCCTGTGTTGGTGAAAATCTACACTCGGGCCGGGAAGAATGGGGGCGCGCGGGGGGTAGGGGCGCAGGACGAGTTTTCAGCAGGACGCAGGCAGGTGAACAGAATGGCTGGCTGTGGGAGCCGGCGCAGGGGCCTCAGGGAGAGAAGAGAACCACACAACCCTCCCCGCACACCCCAAGATCTCACGCCCCACCCTCTTAAACTCTGAGCCTTTGTCCCCCAAGAGTCACAGCTCCTGGAGGGACGATCCTCTCTGCCTCTAGATTAACGCTGCTGACTGCTGAG